GCACTCTACCCAGGGGGATAGCTTTAGGCTCTGTCTCAAAAAAAAAAAAAAAAAAAAAAAAGTTGATTTATGAAGGACTCACACAAACGGTGTGCTAGGCTGTGTCTCATACACATGCACAGACACACTCCTCCAGGGCCATGATGGTCAGAGATAAGAGAACCTAATGATTCAGATACTCTATTATTTCTTTTGATTGTTAAAAAAGAATACACACACCATCCTTGCTTTCATGTATTATTTGTCTAATACATTGACACTGTCAGTGTTTATTTGCAACGTCCTCTACAATGTACTTTAATAAGGGTGCCAACAGCCCATTTAACACTTTTTTTTTTAAGCCTCCTAGCCCTGTTTGAGCCACAGTTGAAGCTTGGGGGGGTCCCTCTGTAGAATCCTGGGCATCCGCCTCTTCTGTCACACGGAGAGAGGCAGCCATCACACCGCATCACGGTCAAGGTAGACACTGCAGGTGGGTGGAATCCTGGGGTCAGAGGGGCTGAGGGAAGGCCAGTCTCTGCCTCCGAAGGAACCCCCCCACCCCCGCCAGCTGGCAGCTGGCGTCTGTGTGATGTGCCGGGGGCCACACAGTCACAGCTCTGTGTTTATTTATGTGCTTTAATTATTTCTAATTCCACATCTCCTGCTGACATTTGAGGAATCATTGCGGCAATAAAAGACGCGTTTCACTATGAAAGCGCGTCAAGTGATCTTCCCTCCTTTGTCTTCCTTCTTTTTATAAGGTGATTGATGCGTAACTGGGGGAGGAACGGAAGGAGAAGCGCTTCATCCCGGCAGAAATGCCGCAGCCTCAATACGCTCTGAGCCACGACTGCTTCTTTGACGGGAGCCCATCTGGAACGGTGCAGCGCGCAGACTGCAGTTTCATCTGGAACAGTGGTGTTCGCCCAGGTGGTTTTGTTCCTGAAAATCCTGATTTTGGGTGATCAGGACCCCAAAGTTCTCTGCATTATTGGCAATGCTGGGAACTCACAGACTCTCTTTTTGTTATAAAGAGAAGAATTTTGCTACAGGAAGACTGCCTGTTTGCCTTCATGTATTTAGTACATTTTTATTAAGCACCAACTGTATACCAGAGCCGTTCCAGTTACTCACAATACAAAAGAGCCAAGTGCCCTAGCCTCGTGAATCCCGCATTCTCCTTTGAGAGACAGATGATAATAAACCCATCCACCACAGACTACAAAATAAGAATGCCAGGGGGTGATAATGTTAAGAAGAAATGTCAGTCATAGCTGTAGCTCACAGCTAGCACAGGAGGACTAGATGCTGGGTACCGACTTTGTGCCAGGCAATGTTCTAAGTTCTACGTGAGCTATTCTTAAAGTGGGTGTGTTCCTTCAGATACCACGTGGAGAGAGGCCTGAGAGGGTGGAGTTAGAGCAAAGACCTGAATACAGAAGAAGAACATTGACCCTCCTTCCTCTCCACAATCCATGTTATCTATCTGTCTTCTGTTGGTTGCAATGCTTTATTTTAGTGTTGGGGGCAGAGGGCCACAAAGAAAGCCCCCAACTAACTTCACTTAGAAGCTGCCAT